TATATATATATATATATATATATATACATATTGACGAGGGCTGCTCCACAGTTTCATAGATTTGCCTTTTTCATGTTTATCCAGGCTCTTTGTTATATGTCATATATATATATATATATATATATATATATATGTATATAACATAACTTACACCGAAAACCTCCTTGAATTCGAATCAATGTGACTTGTCTATTAAAAGTAGCACGCTGGCCGAGCATCAGATGCAAATATGTAGTTATATATATTAATATCTATATATATTGGAACTATATAGAGTTTTCTTCTATTATTATGGTGTTTCTTAACAATATGTATATGCATAACGTGTACGATATTTACAAAGCCTGTAAATCTGTACGGTTTTTAAAAATATACACATATATAATAGCAATATGTTTATATACATATACTTAATAAAACAGAATACAGAAAGAATTACCAAGTAAATTGAAATGATTCCTGCCCTCCATTCGTATCAAACCATTGAAACTAACTCAAAGCGTTTTTTATACAAATAAACACACATCTTATATGGCATTGAATTTTTGTGACACTTGCATGTATATATATATAGAGCATACATAAACCGTATATACATATATGAATATAACATAGATTAGAGATTTTCAGACAGTACTAAAAACAGATGACTTGCTTATAGCGAAACCATATATTTACATATATTGACGGCTCTCAAAACCTCTAAAATCAAATTTGTTTTTCGCATAAAAAACTATTTAACAAGAAGAAAAACAACGATGAACACTTTTTCAGATTGCGAAACCCTTAAAAACACAAAAAAATCAATAATGTTTTCAATCCTTACTAAATGCTATGCATAAAAGTGAAAAAATCTTGATACCTAGTATATATAATAATACATATTTATATATATGTATGTAAAATGTGTGTGTATTTATTTTTAATCTACATAAATGAAAAAATGGTATTTCCAAAAGACCATTATAAAGGTGTTGTGCTTTTCTAGAATTTTATTAGTAGAAAAAAAATGTTTATTTTTTTGTCACAATTAAAATAAAAATAAATAACAAAGCGTTATAAAAAAGAATATATATATATACATGGATATGAATTGAATACCTTTTATACGTGCACTGACATACTATACAAAAATACTGTCTCAATCAACCGAATTATGAACCAAACAGCTTGAATAAAAATTTTAAAAGCTTATTTTCCTATTTCAAATTTAATTTAAATATTTATTTTGTTTACCCCTTTACTGGAACCTTGAACAATAATAATAGCACCCATATTTTAATATCGTTTTTTATTTTTATTTTTCAAACACTCAAGAAAAATCAAAAGCCTATCATAATTAAATTAAAAAACAAAATATAAATATAATGTAAAGTTTTGCTGTGATTCGTGATGTAGATGTACATACGTTGCATATATATAAATTTATGTATACATATGTATATGTATGTATATATATATATTTATATATTTAATTATATAAAATGCAATAAATTTCAAGCATATGAAAATATAGTAATTCAAAATTATTACGTCGACAGCCAATTTAAACAAATAATTAAAATTCAGAGAAAAAAAGCTCAAAAAAATTGAAAACATTTTATGCATGCGATCTTCTTCAAAACAATATGTACATCATAATCGAACATCACTGGTCTAGAATTGTCTAGAATTATGCGATTTTAAATGTGACTATATTATTTTACATTTTTGTAGACAAGAACCGAGACACTTAATAGTAAATGTAAAAATCAGTTAACCATAGTATTAACAAACCTTTTTCAATGGCATTGTAATGGTGAGCGGGCGATTTTAATGTTAAATGCAATAATTTCAGTTTTCGTTTTTGTATTAACTCGCAAAATTTAAATAAAATTCAATGAACGTATAACATAAACAAACATGACTTGGCTTTCACTCTCATTTTCATCGACAGGTTTGTATATATGTATCAGTAAAATTTAAATAATTTTCATCCGCTTTAAATGACCGTTACTTACAAAGGTGTGGCCAAATGTAGTGACCGACATACAAGAACTGGTCTTACTCTTTTCTGAAACACACCAGAAATTGTTAAGTCTTCAATTATAGTTTCTTTAATATAAGATTTTAAAGCTTGAATTGGGAAAACTAAATTTATAGTTAGAGTATTCGTTATATTTCAACTTTTAACAATTATTACCTTCCCGATAAAATACGAAATCAGCTGCGAGAAACTGGTATGTTAGTGATTAAAATTAACAGAGTCTGTAGAAAGTTTAAAATCGATGTTGTGGCATTATCGATTGTACTGCCAATCGAAAACAGCTGACGCTTACAGTTGGTTAACAGCGGCGGCGGCGTGTGAATGCAAGGCGGATGAAATATTTTTAATCATAAACACGGACACATAAATAATTGAAAAAAGAAAATGCATTTGTGCAAACGAAAAGCAAAGCGAAAATATGGCCTGTAAATTATATCATAAATGTGAAAGTGTTCGCCAAGCGTTAACGCCACAGGCATAGTGAAAAAAGGAGTGCGAGTGGAAGAAAAAATCAATTGAAAAAGAAAAATTGCATTTCGCTGCCCCAGCCCCCTAATACGAAAAAATAAAATAAAAGTGTGTAGTAGTATATGTGAAAATATATTAAGTTGTTGTACGTGTTTGTGTGCGGAGAGTCAGTGGGGTGCATGTGCAAAGAAAAGAAGAAGCAGCTGCTGCAGAAAAAGCAAAAGGAGACAGCAACGACAAGCGACCAAGTTATAATAAAGCGTTGGAAAAATGAGTTCAACTTGTGAAAGGTGTGTGCCGTTAAGCTATAACCAGCAAGCGCACTGGGAAGCAGACTGGCAGCAGAAAAACAACAACAACAACAACAATGAAATGAATTGAAATGTTTGAGAGTGTACACAATTAAATTAGCAACAACAACAATGAGGCGTATTGTTAAATGTTTTGTTTAATATGTTGCTTGTCTTCTCTTCTGTGTTGGGAAGTGCGAAAATTATACGCAACGCAGCCGAATGGTGTGTAGAGCAGCAGCACCTCCCCTTTAAGGCGAGCCCATGTTGGCAAAGACAGCCACAGCCGCTGCCTGTCTGAATGTGCGTGTGTCAGCCGTGTATGCGTGTGGATTGCATTGCTTTCGCTGCTGCCGCTCACCCTCCCTGCACCTTAACTATATTCGCCTGTGCTTAATGAAATGCTAGTTCCTTCAAAATTTATGCATTTTGGCCTGCAAAATCGATTTTCTTGCAAGGCGCGGCAACAAGCGTCGTTTTTGTTTGGCACTAGCGGCCGTTTACTACATGTACATATATGCAGGAGAGAAAGAGATAGCTAGAGTCAGAGCGCTTGCTCTCTGTATATGTATTTGATGTGCGTGAATATATACGTATATGTGTGTGTGAGTAAGGACGGTGCGGCGTTCTGAGCTGCAGCTTCAAATAAGGAAAAACCGGAAAATGTTTGACAAAATGTATTTGTGTGCTAGTGTGTGTGTGTAGAAAGAAAAGCCCAAAACAAGCATTCATGGGGGAAACCAGCAATGCACACACAGTCGCACACGTATATATGTAGATAATTCAGGGCGACGACTCACGCACAGGGCAATTCGGGTGGTACTTTTTTGTGGGTGGTATTTTATTTCTGGGCTTTTATTTTCGGGCTTGTTCCTTTTTCGCAGCACATCTTTTGCGCGTTTGTATTAATGAATGAACGAAATGAATGAAATTTGTCTGCGTGTGTGCCCAATTCTTAAAGTTTTGGTTGCTTCTGTTGTTGTTGCTTTAGTTACAATGCGCTGTGTGCTGCATTCCAGAGGTGCCTTTTCATTTTAAAATAGCCGCAATTCCTATATCTCTCGCTCTTTTAA